CCTCTCGGTATTGGTCATTCTTGTGCTTAGCAACACAAATTTTCATTGAATCGTAATTGATAGCAACGTCTTTAAAACTTAAACTGTTGATTTCGTTAACGCGAAAAAATCCATAAAATTCAACTAGCAAAATAAATAAAAAGTGGACGTCAGGGAGAGACTTGCTCGCAACATGAGCATTAGTAATTGCTTGCACTTTATCGGCGGACAAAGGCACTTTAGGCTGCACTGGACGGGCTAGCTTCCTTTTAGCTCCTTCGACAGATGACTTTACGAGTGGATGACCAGTGCGGCTTACTTCCTGACGTCTATTTACACCTCGTCAGAAAAAAGGCAGCTAATTAGTGAGCGTATAAAAGGACCTCTTATTGCAGTGTTGAGATCACCCTCGATGAAGGAACTAGACAGGAGTGTCGAAACGTTTGGTCTATGAATTGTAACTTCTCGGTTACATTCATTAAATCTTTAAACCAGAGTAGCATCAAATCATGTCTAAAACTCCCTAAGTTAAAGATCACGGCTTTCATGGGAAATCCATCGGACTGGGTTCGATTCGAAAATATGTTCCTCAAGCAAATTCACAGTCGACCAATTTCGGACGGAGATAAATTTGGCTATTTGTCAGAGATGGTTCTTCCCAAGGTAAGAGAACAAATCTCCAACCTTAAACCCGGGACACTAGGGTATAGGACGGCATGGAAAATATTGCAAAGAGAATACGGACAAACTAAGGTTGCTGTAAATTCCCGTATGGACGAAACTATGAATTTATCTCTGGTGAAAGGTACAGCTACGATGAAGTAAGAGAATCCTATGAAAAGTTAAACAAACATTTTGACGCTCTGATACCTTGGGAGAGGCTGGCATATTAAAACAATCTGTGATGACGACGTTGAAGACATTACCTCAAGTTAAACCCGACCTAGTGCGAGTTGACGAGAAATGAGAGGAATGGACCATGAAAGAATTGATTGAAAGTCTGTAAAAATGGCCTAAGAGAAACAAGAAGGACGACTCCCAGCTCTCTGACAGGGGAAACTCAAGGACAAAAGAAAGGCAATCGTATTCAAAGATAAGAGGGAGAACATGCGTAAACTTACAGCTCCTTCCTGCCTTTACCTGTGGAGGTGATCACTGGGTGGAGTCCTGCGATGTTTACAATACCTTAGAGAAAAGAAGAAATTTTTTCACGAAAAGAAATTGTGTTACAACTGTGAGCGTGAGGGTCAAGGGGAAAACCACAGCCGGAGTCGCCCATGTTCAAAGTGCAAGTCGAGACACCTCACAAGCCTGTGGGACAAAATATCAGTGAAAGGACAGAGTGAGAGTATGGTGTTCACCCCATACACCCAGGTTATGAAGATAGATTCTTACCAGCGATCATTCCGCTGAAGGTTTAAGGCGCAACATTGTGGGCATATTTGGACACGGGCTCTGGCAGGAATTTTACATCCTAAGAAGTTGAGTCTGAAGCCCTCACTACATGAAAGGCACCGAATTGTTATCATAAACGGCGTGAGAAGACACTTCATGCCCATATTCAAAGTGAGAAGTCATTCCCTGGACGACCCAACAAGCGAGCAGATAGAAAACAATGGGAATGAGTTGGCGAATTTCACAACCACAAGGAGGCCCACTATCGGGAAGTTGAAATCAAAGTACGAACACGCCCGAGACAAGCTGTTCTACACGACGAGGAATAAAGAGTACCCAGTGCATGTGATCCTGGGTGATCAAACCTACTGCAAGATATGAACCAAGCCAACGTTCAAGGGACGCCTTGAGGATCCTTCCGTGGCAGGTACGATGTTTGGATGGGTAATACATGATGGAGCAGAGTGCGCCAATGACAAGTGTAGTCTATCGAGGAGGCAAACGAATACGAGAAGCCATACAGTCTAGACTTATTGGGTGTGGAAGAGAGGGCAGAGTATGACCGGTCAGAAGTGCTCAGCAGTTTCAACGAGAGCGTCACAAGGGGAGCGGACGGCAGGTACGAAGTGAGCGTGGCATGGATCTCAGGTAGTTCCTTGCTAAGTTCAAACGAAGAACAGTGCAGAAGACGTTTTTGCAGACTGGAAAGAAAGCTGGCTCAAGACCCCACTTGGAAGGAAGGGTACGAAAAATAGTAAAAGATCAACTAGAGGAAGGCAAAGCGGACGCTGCACCTGAAACACTCACTGCCAAACGCACTTTTTACATGCCATACAAACTAGTGGTAAGGGAGACTGCGGGTATAACAAAAATGGTTTTCGATGACGGTGCCGAGCCACACCCTCTGGGAAACGATAGCAAGGAGTGTATTTACACGTATCCACCACGTCAGCCCTTATACAAAGGGCATTCCTACAGATTGGTGTCAGAGAGAAAGATGGAGATGCCTTTCTGTTCTTGTTCAACACTAACGGTGGAGAAAAACACACCTGAGATTCACTAGAGTCGCCTTTCGGAGGAGAGTCAAGCCTATTATTGTTAGGCGCTACCCTCAACCATCGCTACGATGAACAACGTGAAGAATTTCAAGAAACCATACAAGCCTTAAGAGAAAATACGTACTTAGACAATATGATGAAAACAGAGGAAAAAGAGGTTGAACTGGAAGAATTCAAGAGGCAAGCATCTAGTATTCTGGAGAGTGAGAAGTTTTTTGTCCTCAAGTGGGAATCAGACGTTGAGCGCTTAGAAAGTGAAGGTTCAACAAACCCAAGTAAGATCCTTAGGACGGTCTGGGACAAGGGAGCAGACTTGCCGGAGGTGCAAGTACCAGGACCCCGTGTCAACCAGCCATTGAAAAAGAGAGGACTGCTAAGCCACCTGGCAAGAATCTACTACCCACCAGGGATAATGTCACCGAAAACTGTGAAAGGAAAGCAGATCTACCGATATGCATATCACGAGATTAAAGGTTGAAAAGTGGAAGAGGGAGTGGATCAAATGGTCTACCCAATTGAAGCTTGTGAGAGTTCCAAGAAGCATAGCAAAAGGAGCTGGTCAAGTGAAAGCCTTTCACGTTCATGTATTCGCTGACGCCACGAACGTTGCATGTTTAGCGGCAACTATAGACGTAATCGAAGGCACGACAGCAGTGGTTCCAAGGTTTACTCACCTCAGAATCAAGAATCTTAAAACAAGCCATATCTATTGCAAGACTAGAACTAATGAGAAGAAATCAGACATTAATAATACCCTGTACAAAACGCCAGGCAGAACAACACGGTATAGTTCGAGATGACAATACTCGACATTGAGAGGCACTTAAACAACCGACCGTCGACGTACCTCGACAGCGACGCAGGGGAGGAGCAAGTGCTAACCCCAAACGTGTCAATTCGGGGACAGAACGCGCATGCGGTAGAAGAAGTAGACGACAACGACGACGATGGAGTAACCGGATTGCACAAGCCCCTGAATGAGGCAAAACGGTACGTACGGAGCAGATGGAAACACGAATACCTGCATTGTTTATCAGAAAGGCGTCGAGATAAGCGGAAGACAGTCGTAGTACCGGACGTTGATGAAATTGTGCTGGTCGCAGGAGATGACAAAAACCGAGGGTATTGGGGCGTGCAGTGGAAATTCAACTAAAAACACTGGGACCTGCGCATGTTGATGCTCCAAAATCTCACAATAATCTGGGTTCTTTACACTGTTCGCTGAGCAAACCAGATGAAGCCAAAGACTACCTTAAGCGTGGACTAAAGATTAGTCTGGAAAAGCTGAGACCTGAGTATGTTAATGTTGCAAGCTCTTTCAACAATTTGGGTTCTTTACACCGTTCGCTGGGCGAAACAGGTAGAGCAAAATACTACCTTAAGCGTGGAATGAAGATTCGTCCGAAAAAGGTGGGACCTGAAAATGCTGATGTTGCAAGCCCTTACAACAATTTAGGTACTTTACATAATGTGCTGGGCAAAACAGATGAGGCAAAAGACTGCTATAAGCGTGCACTGGAGATTAGACTGAAAAAGCCGGGACCTGAGCATGTTGATGCACCGTTTGCTGGGCGAAACAGTTGAAGCAAAAGTCTACCTCAAGCGTGGACTGGAGATTCTTCTGAAAAAGCTGAGACCTGATCATGTTGATGCTGCAAGCCCTGTCGACACTTTACATAGTATGCAAAGCGAAAAAGATGATGCAAAAGACCACTATAAGCGGGCCCTAACGATTCAACTGACAAAGCTGAGGCCTGAGCATGTTGATGTCGCAAGTTCTTACAAAAATCTGGGTGCTTTACACAGTGCACAGGGGAGAAATAGATTAAGCAAAAATTGCTATAGGCGTGCACTGGAGACGTGACTGAAAAACCTGGGACGAAAGCATCTTAATGCTGCAAACTTTTACAACAATCTGGGTACTTTGCACGGTGCGCTAGGCGAAACAGATGAAGCAAAAGACTTATAAGCGTGCACTGGAGATTGGAGTGAAAAAGCTGGGACCTAAGAACGTTGATGTTGCAAGCTCTTACAACAATCTGGGTACTTTGCATAGTGTGCTGGGCGAAGCAGATGAAGCAAAAGACTGCTATAAGCGTGCTTTAGAGATTAATACGTAGATTATGTTGAGTAGGTATGTAATATTGGTTACATGCTGGTCCCTTCATGTGCTATTTTTCCATTATGACATACATCTCTTCATACGTGCAGGCATGACTTCGAAACAGGAAGGCCAAAAATTAGTCTACAGTAACTTATGATGGTAAAATAAGAAGCTTGAGTAACTCTTTTGTGCGCTTCAAACTGCGGTATGCTGCATTACTTGATGTATCCACGCTATGTAAACGTGATCAAATTCTTAGTATATCTACAAATTTTCGTTCTTTTCCTGAAGTTAGCGCTTTCAACCTCGATTCTTTTCTTTTAAGGACAATGCAAGTTTGCATCCTGGAAATAACAGTATCCTTTTAAAAGGAATTTTTTTAAGAGAGGAAAAATACCCTGGTTGTTCTTCTGTAACCAGAACTTTTTTTATTTCTAACCGTTCACAATTAAATTTCTTCACAGTGCTTGTGTAACAATCCTGCTATGGAATTCTGTTTCCCAAAACCACATCTAGGTGGCACGGATGATATTGTAGAGGTATGGACTTATCCTTAAAGGGTGTTTATCTATATTTTTCTGTAATTTCTTATTTATCTTGCTGACTCCCATGTTATACTAGTGAGTGGCAGTCATTGTTTCAAGCCTCACCATCTATGTCTGAAGTGCATGTGAAAAGCTACCTCAAAAAATGAAAACAAAACGAAACAACACAACTGGTGTGTCTTGAAACTTTTACTTCAACTTAAATTGAGGATGTTTCAAAGAGGCTGAAATGTTGGTTTAGCGACCCTAAAAGTCAAAAAGCGATCACAAATTATTTCAAAATTATCGGGCATTTGTTTGAAACTATGGGAAGTGTGATAAAATCTAACGCTGATTTTGGTTTCTTATTTTCTTTTTTTGTTAATGGGGTATTTTGAATTACCTCTTTTAATTTTTGGGTATCACATTTAATATTTGACTCAAAACACTCTTGGACTAAATTTTTTCTATTAAAGGTCAGGGATGAGGCAAATCTTTGGAAAAATAAAATAGGTCTAAATCACAGCAACGAAGTGAAAGACGAATTCAACAATTCCGGCAATGAGTTGAGTGCCGCTTCTGTCCCTGGCATGAAAATATATACTGCAAACGGCTTTGAAAAGAAAAGCGAATTCAACGATTCCGGCGGTGAGTTGAATGCCGCTCTTGTCCCTGAGTTGAGTGCCGCTGTTGACTCTGACGTGAAAATATCTATTGGAAACTACTTTGAAGTGAAAGACAAATTCAACAGTTCCGGCGGTGAACTGAGTGCCGACTCTGACGTGAAAATATGTATTGGGAACGGCGCAATACCGACTGAAGTCAGCCAGGAAGTCTTCTACCGCGTGTTCTACGACACAACAAAGCTGTTGCAGGATATCCCCGTTGAACCTGATGAAACACTCATTTCCCCTGTGATTGAATGCGGACCACACGATATCAGACTTTCAAAGCCTTTGGAGATTATAATTCCACATTGCCTCCATATGGGTAAAGCTCAAAAGAAATGGATAACTGTCTACAGAAGCGACCCAGGTAATCGAAAAATTCCTGGGCTAAGTATTTTCAGCTGAATTCAAAGAAAAGACATTTAAGATTTAACATCTCGAGGACTTACACTTTTGTAGGCCTTACATGTTCAAAGTTTGTTCATGGTATGGAGTTACAAAGAAGATGAGAGCTCTTGGTTCCCTTCGCTGCCGTCCGTTTTGTATTCACGAACCTGGTGTCCCACGTGGTTGAGTTTTTTGTTGCTTCTCCTCCACGCTCCCAGATGTTTTCTTTCTGAATCTGATTTTCCTCCTTTGGCAAAAACCAAGACCCAAATTTCAATCGACTTAACCTAACCCTAATCCTGAGAGGAACCTCGTGGATTTCCATTGCAGAGTAATTCCCACTTATTCATTTTACATATAAATTTTCACCCCCCCCCCCCCTTCTCTTTCGGGAAAGTGGGACTAATGTTCATTATGCTGTTACTGTACTGATGATTTTGTCATCAATTTTTGATTAAAGATCCCATCAAGTGGGAGAAAATCCCTAACGAATCAAAAAAGAAGAATCTGTCAAGGGCATGGTTCAGAGCAAAAGAGGACTCCATTCATATCAAAACCACGAGCTTCTGTTTCTGGTGTGTATTTTGTCGTGGTGGGGCACCGAGGAAGAAAAGAGCCACAGTGTTTGCTAGTAAACCGAATCCCAGACGTGATCTCATTCATATCAGATTTTACATTTACAGTGACAACAAAGATTCTTTGAGGGTAAGTAATCGTACAAGTAGAATTTTATTTTGGTTTGAAGACAAGGCATCCACCAAATGCAACCGACTGTGTTAATCTATTGTTTTTAACAGAAGTGTTCTTTTCAATATTATACCCATACACGGTGTATGATGAAAATGAGGCATTTTTACTACTAACTGGCTTGAGCTTCCGCTATTCATGATTAAACATTATATCACATTATATCATGATCATTGGTTTATCTATGTGATTCTTTAAGTAATGTAGGGGGCATTAATATGCTACACATCTAGTTTGGTTGCGTTACATCAAATCGCCATCTTGGATACAAATCCGGACATATGATTGGTTATTTTTTATCACGAGATACATAATCCTCCTCTCTGATTGATGAACACCATATTTGCTTCCCTTCATTCATGTATGTTATTCTCATGCTTATGTGCCTGATCATTATATCACTGAGGAGTAAGTTAGCGCCTCAGCTCTGACGTTCTGCGATGAGATGAAAGCACGTTGTACTCTATTAGCTTCTCATTGTTGGAGCTTAACCTACTCTCGTGAAAATGAACCGAAAAGGAGTGTTATTACTCCTCTGGTGCGGATGCAACTTAACTGTAGGCATCTACCCAGCAATTTATGAGTTTGCCAGTGTTGAAATGTGCTGTCACTGAATCATATTCCTTTATTTGGTAAGAGAGTTGCATTTGCCTAAAAAAAATATTAAAAATAGGATTTCGTCTGAAATTTAACTAGTCACTCTTGTTATTGCACGATGTACCACCTAGCTGATCCATATATTTTGCCTTTACAAGCGAGTGGAGATGCAAGAGGAAAGGCAGTGTTCTGATTCATGGAAAGGAATGGAGAAACCCTTCAAAATGCACAACAACAGCAAAAAGATAACCGTGAAACTTGTGACGGATCCTGAGGAGGGCTGGGAATTAGACAAGACAGCTGGTGATCAGGTGAGGAAATCAACAAAGGGTTGGGCTCAGTCATGAGTTACAATGAAACATTTTTACCCCTGATAATCTGAACTGAGGCTTTATAGACCCTTGGTAGTTGGTCGACCATCTTCCACTAAATACACATTGCAATAAACAAAATCTTGCAATTTATGTCTAATAAGTTACTAGGAAGTCCCTCTCTCTCTCTCCTCAAACAACTTCTTCACCAGCTTCAGCACCAGGCAACAGTGAGATGGGGGGGGGGGGGGAGGGGAAGTTGTAGCAAAAGTAGAAAACATTAAAAAGAAGTAGAGTGTGCCAAAACTTTTGCCACTCACTATAGTTACTTTGCTTAATAACAACTTCTGACTTCTGAGATGTCGATTATGTGGCCTTCTGATTACCTCTGAAAGTAGGTGTCTAATCAATGCACTTTTAACAACCTCTTGCATCTCTATATGAGGCGTTTTACCCCGATTGATGCAATGTATTACTCAATCTGTGATTTGTTGTAGGTGTACATCTGCGATGATTCCCATGGCGGTAGATTCCGCTGTACAAATACTTGTGATTTTGCAGTAAAACCAATGAAAGGTAGAGAAGTGGAAGAGTTCTCTTGTAATATAACGTTCCAGCAAGAGGGCCATGATGAACATGCAATATACGTAAACCCTGGCTTTTCACTTGTGGAGGTAATACTGTATGTAGTTGGCAAGATCTTATTTCGCATTAAGCCAGTGAGACAGGTTACAGTTTTCTTTAAAAAAACCGAGAAAGAAAAAAGTAAAACTAGCAAGAAAGTACAAAACACAAAATCAAAACAAATCTGACGTAGCTTTCGGCTCAACTTTTTCCTATTAAGTTACAATCACCACTCACTTTCTTAGACCTTATCAGCATAGCCGTAACCAATGAAAGGTCTATCTACTTGAAAATACATAATTTTGCTAATAATAAGCCTCCTACCTCATGTTTTTCCTTCCAGTTATAAGCCTCTACGTGTTAAATCAAAACCACTAGCATACCTCGTGACATCACGGCATTGTCTAAAAATGAACTTCCTTTTCAGCCGAGCTTTTAGTTTATTGCTATATTGTAGGTTTAATCAACTGTCATTATTAACGACAAATTGCATTTTCTGTGAAACGCATTGTGTAGTTTGAACTATGTGAATTCTAATTATCATTGTTGATAAATTATAATTATTATTATTACCAACTTAACTTTATATTCTTCAATAAGCTTCCCCGGTTTAATTAACATCGACAAAATAACCACAAAATCTAGTGAAGATAATACATATCATAGAGGTGGAAAGCTTCGAATAACCTTGCAAAGTAAAGCTGTCGAGTTCCAGGTCTAAAACTTTTACTTTTCTTTTCCTTTAAAAGTACCTCACTCACACTTAATTTCGCATTTTTCGTAATTGTAAAAAAATGGCAAAATTAAGGAATTAATCAATTTTAATTTTAATTAAATTTATAAAAAAAAACAATAAACATGTGAAGAGCAACACACACGCGACATTTATCAACAATTACGCAAATTGTCAACTAGTTTTACTATTTCTTGCAATGCATGTTGTATAATGTTTCTTGTGTAATGTTAATGTTAATGATCTTCATATGAATCGCAAAATTCATACAAATTCCTGATATCTATCATACAGTCCTCAAAATTGCTCTTAACTCGTTTCTTGTAGTTCTTATTCACAAGTTTCATGTAACGTTCTAACACTTATTCCAGTTTATCTTGGATTTCTTAAAAGTTCAGACATTTTGAAAATTAAAATGAAGTTGACAACACTTAAATCGTAAAATTAAATGTCCTATTTTCATTTTTTCCTGTTGAAATCAGCAAAATGTATCCCCGCAAAATATTGTCTCGCCGAAATCGCGAAATTAGCTACCCGCAAATGAAGTACGAATAAAACTGTCATTTTAGTCTAAAACGGTTTTTCTTTGTTCTACCGATATCCCTTTTGAATATCAAAATTGTTTAACTCAGTATTCATTAACATGATTTTCCGATATCTGAACGATTTTGCTACTTTCACTTCCTCTCTCCATTTTAGGGGTCGGTCGGGCCGGCAAGTGCTCATACGCACTTCAACAGCGCAGCTGGAGGCTCGACTTCTTCAGATCCAGATGAAGGTGACAGGGGTAACTTAGACGAACAACCAAAAACTTCTCAAGGTATCTTCGTCATCGTCATCACAACTATAGCTACTATCACGAGAAGCTCTCCAGTAGTTAATTCCACCAATTAACACTTCGTACGAATAAGCTTCTCTTTCTCGTTTCGCCGGAGTAGTCAGGCTTTTCTCTCAAGAACTTGCTTTAAGCTTTTAAACTCTATGTTTCGAATAATCGATTGTTTGTCCTTTGTTGGGTGTTTTCGTTTTTTGCATTCTCCCTCAAACTCCGAATTAAAACGTTGTTACTTTCTCCTCACTCGTCCGCCATTTTGTTTTGTTGTGCTTTCGCGACTCACCTGTCAATCGTTTTCATTTCAACATTTTGCACTCAATTTCAACTTTCTGCACTTTTTGGTGATAATTCTTGTGTTCTTGGCTAGTCAGCATGCTGAAATTTTTGCATGTATAAAATAATGAAATTGATAAACCGTACTGATTCCATTCAGGAAGTGGCGGTGATGAGGTGAACGCACCGACTCTTGGACGCAGCAAAAGCTCATCTGGATGCTCGAGGTCTTCAACAGCAGAAGAAGGTGACAAGAGCAACTTAGACGAACAACCAAAACCTCGTCAAGGTATCTTAGTCATCTTCATCGCCATCGTCGTAGCTATGCCTACTATCATGAAAAACTGTCCCTTAAATTTTTTAATAATAATATCTCCTTCGAACAAGCTTTCCCCCACCACACAAATCTTTCATTTTCCACAAATTGACGTCATCTTATGATGATCTATTACTGCGCAGACTCACGACAACATGGAATTTATTTGTTTTGTATGATGAAGAACCATAATGTTGTTAGCGGTGGCGATGCAGTGTAAGCACATAAAACACAAAGTATCTCCAAATTCTTTCTTTGATTCAGACTCGAAGCTCCTTAGCAGTTTGCTGGATAATAATCCATATCTAGAGCGAGTATGTAACCGTCTGGACACAAGACGAGTGTCGAGTGTTGGTGACTATCACGCTGTTTGTTCATATTATGGTATTGACAGTTATCAAGTGACCGCAGTTTACGAAAAGCATAATGGCGGACCGTCAAAAGCCCTAATAGAACACTTGGCAGCTTCAAAAGAAGAGCAAACAGTTGCCGAGTTTGCTAGTGTAGTGAGAGAAGTTGCCAAGAGAGGTGACGTTGCCAAGATTTTGGAAGAATATAATAATCAGTAAAAAACATTTTGAAGAAGTCAGCGTTATTTTTAAGTAGTTTTTACATGTGAATGTAAAATTCTCTAAAAGAAACGCTAAATAATTGCACGTTCGTCACAAAAAAACAATTCCACAGCATAATAAATTTAGTTCAGATAAACAACCAAAAGTATTTAGAAAGAAATATCAAAAAACAAAACAAATTGTAATTTTCGGCGTGACTTTAGGATATTCAGCTTGTAACGAAATTAATTTTACAAAGGTTAAAGACACCTAAATTCGAAAAAAAAAAAATTAGAATGATCACCATTATCAACCAACGAGTATCGTCCAGTACAGAGTTTACCACCAGTACTGTTAGACCTCTGTATCTTCTTTTTGGCCTGACATAAATTGCAGCGAGAGCGAAAGGACGTTATGACAATTTTAAGTAAATATGCTTTGAATAACAAAGATCAAAGGTACTTAGTTTCAAAACTAACACCTATCCTATTAAACCCTTGTTTTTTTGACCCTCCTGAACTATCAAATAGCCAGTAAAAGAGAAGAATTAGATATCCTCCCCCCAAAAAACAGCAATATATTGAGTACCTACTGAGCATTCATCTGCATTTGCAAAGTAAGCCAAGCAACTTGTTAAATACATTTTAAATAATGACTTGATGTTTATAATGCAAGTAACGTATTCGATTTATGTCGGCAATGTAAGTAGTATAATAATCGTACAAAATTTCTTGCGAGCAGCTCATTGTAAGTAATGTATGCTGTTGCCAAAAAAAAATGTTTAGATATAGATATATAGATACAAATTAGGTATATAGGATTGATCGCAACTTTGCTTAGCATAAACAAGAATTTTTTGGGGTAATGAAGTTTGAATTTGCAAGAGTTCTAAAAAATGATGTAGTATTTACAACAACTTTCTTTTGATATGTTTGCTTGAATAAGTGCCTCAAGAGGTAAAGAGAGCATCCTATTTTGTAAACAGAAGTTATCTGCATGTAACGTAGATAGATGTTTAATTAGAGAGGTTTTGATGTCATCATACTAAACTTAGGTTATTTTCATCACCTACATCAGTCAGAGATTGAGATGGGGTATTCAGCACCAAGTATACCATGCAGTCGGTCATTCCTAGATATTCAACCTTTTAACTCTCAAGATCTGATTATTCATTTTCCCCTCGAACTGCTACACATTTCCTTGTAAATAGTTATGGGAATTTGGCGTTAGATCAAGATAACAGCTTGATAGGTTAAAGTTTTCTCGATACCTGTTTGTAGGATAATGTATAGATATTATAGGGAGAAGCTCCATGTTAATCACTATTGGGAGTCGAAGGATTAATTCAAACTGATGTTCTTAACTATTAGCTCCTTTCAACTCGGTATGAAATGTTTCTTTGGTTTGTGATTAAGATAAATTTGACTTTTTATAATGTTGAGCACATATGCAAAATAGTTTGAAATATATAAAGGGGGCAAGTTTCTGATGAAACTGTGGTGCTGCGTTGGTGGGAGAGTATAACTGGGTAATTAAGTATTATCAAATGAGTTGATAACATAGTTTGGGCACCGTAAAGAGTTTCAAAGCTGACGTTTCAAACGTTAGCCCTTAGTCAGAGTTTAAAATATGTTTGACAAGCTACCACAGGGATTTTTTCCCTTCCTTTCCATGCCATCATCCCCACTGCCAAAGGGATAATTTTCCTCATTCTCTCATGTCCCAACTCTTCATATTCCACCTTACCCCTCCCCTCCTTTTTTTAATGAAGGACAAACTTGGCTGATTGTTTATAAAGGTTTGTGCATTTAAACTTTAGGCCACAAACCTGAAAGGTCATTTATCTCTAATCGACTACTGAAAAACTTCCATTATCATGGTATGTCAGGTTGGAGAGTTTCCCTTCCCGATGCAGAGTCGTCAACATCAACACAAACAAAATGTTGCAATAAGTTATTCTGCAGTTCTATCACATTTATTTTCCCTCCGTGTCACAGATACTTTCTATTCTATGGCCGATAATAGCTAGCATTTACTACGCAGCTCATAGGTATCTAATGCTCTGCATAAAAAAAATTTATGAAGTGAATTGTCGTCAAGCTCCGAAATTGATTCCTGCATAGCTTCTCGTGACTGGGCTTTATTGCTAGACTTGGGAAACACGGCTGAAATCTCCCTAGCAACATGGCACCCAGCTACAACAAAATAAGGGAAAGTTGACTTGAGAATGAAGTATTTTACGAAGTAACGATCGGATTTGTTTTGTCTTGTATGAAATCATTAACTCTTTAATGGGCCTTTCTGACTGTTTATATTTGTTTTTTTATTTCTTTGTTTTATTACCCTGATAATACTGCTGTGAGTTTGCAATTGTCAGGAAGTAAAAAAATTGCTCTCCTTAAAAATAAAAAAGGCTTGATTACGCAATGAAGCCATCATTCGAATCCGAATTATATTATCTTCGTATATCAAGATAACTTTCCAAACCATACTAAAATTTTACGAACTTCTTACCGTTAAAAATTAGTCATACCATCCTTTAGAGGAATTAATTTTTATAAGAAATTCAACACAAATACTGCTCGTCTGCTTTCTTTGAGAAATAATATAATTTTGTTATTTTGTCATGCTTTGGTAGCCACTCGATTTTTGACTGTGAACCTCAACAATGAGCGGTGAAGTTCGGACGTCGTGGGACCTTCCTCTCAACGGAAATAGAGATCGAAAGTAAACGCACATAGCAAAACATTTCAGGCTCCATGTTGTATGTAGAATAAAAAGAATGGGTTGTGCTCTTTGGCTCTTTTTGGCGGGCAAACTTATAAATGTGTCGTTCAAACAAACAATCTCAGTAGCGAAAGACAAGTAGGATAAGTTTCTAAAGAACGTATGGTGCTGCCTCGGTGGGGGAGCTTTACAAGATACTTTGGCTTAATCAACTGAGTTGATAATGTAGATTCGCCTCCGTAAAGTATTTCTAAATCTGACGTTTTTGAACGTCAGCCCTTCGTCAGAGCGAAATGAAGAGGGGCGAACGCTCGAAACATTAGCTTTAAGGAACTCTTTAAGGTGGCAAATTTACATTATCGACTAAGATGATAAAACCAAGTTAAATTATCTTAGCGAAAGTAGATTATGTTTGAGACTCGACACTTTGGTCTAAGGATAGTTAATTTTTTGCTCAGTCGTTGTTTGCTTATTTAATTTTCTTTTTTTTTACTTTCTTTCTAATATTTTTGCTTAACTTAGTTTTGTCTATTGTCTCAAGGAAATACCAGAATAGAGGTAGTGCTAAGTAAAAAGTAAACGTCACATCGGCAGAGATAGACTTGTACCAATCCGTCCTCAGGCGTCCTCCAGCGGGGAAACCAACCCGGGCAGGGTGAAGAGAGCGTGGGTAGGGTGAACGTGTGAGAGAAAGAAGTCGTTCCCACTCTTTCTCTTTCCCGTCATCCCTTTCTCACCCACGTCAACGCTACGAGGAGGCTATTTCTTCCGGCCGTGATAAAAATTAATGTGTTGAATTATTTCTAATAAATTTCTTGAAACAAGAGGGATTTTAGATAAATATCAACTCAAGTGATAAAGAAATAAAGGCGTTATTCAAACAAAGACAAGGAAGAATATAAGCCGGAAGTTTCATTTTGTAACAACATCCGGTGGAGCGACGAATTCTGGGTAACAACGCAGGCGCTCTCTAACACAAGAGGAGGTAGACCCTTGTAGATGAAGCTTTGTTTTGGTGCGGAAAGTTCAGCAATTACTTATTTCCGCAAAAATTTTTCAAGTTTCCTTGGCAGTAAAATGGAGCAGTATACAACATCTTGATCAGCCGCTTTTGTCGATATACTCCTGATCATGTCTTCGGCAAAGATCCCAGAGGGACTGCAGTCTTTCCTTCGTCACGCAGAGAGTTTACATCCTTCGAACAATGCACGGCGAGAGAATGGTTTTGCGAGGGAATTCCAGGTATATATATCCCTTTTTTCTTTAGACCAAGGGAAACCTAACAGTATGATTACTCTTTTCTTTAATTTCGAAACTCAATTTTTACTTCTCTCGTCGAATTAAGTGACTGCTTAAACTTGGTGAAACCGAAATATTTGACTACTCGCTAATTTCCGTGTTATTTCAATATTCTGTACATAACTACCTGGAGATCAAATTAATTTGCTTTAAAGTTTCACCGCGGTTCACGATTTATTCGACGACCGGCATGTTATCGATAAAGATGACGAAGGTTTATCTTTAAATCAAACATTCAAAACGATTACCGGAAGTCACTGGAAAGTATGTTGTGGAGCGCGTTGTCGGTAAACAAATTTCATTATCTGCTTTTCCTAGCGATCGATCCGCAATACTGGCGTAAAATTTTAAATGAGCAACCTTGTCGTTGAGTTACAGATTAGTGAATGCTCTCATAGAAAAGATCTTGATTCTTAGCAGAGGTATAGAAAGTAAAATCCTATTAATTATGCAACTGTGCTTAAAAGCATATCGAAAGTTCTGTGGTGTGATCGTGGTGTCATAGGGCGGTGATCACTCGGAATGCATAATTTTATTATTATTATTATTATTATTTTCTTTTTTTTTTTCCTTTGGCCAAAGAAAAATTTTTTAAAACCTCCTTCTTTGGTAAAATACAACTCCATGTTGGCTATACCAACCCCTGCCCCTCCCACCATCATAATTTTGAATTTGTCGATTTTATGTTTCAATTTATCATTTAATATTTTGTAGCAATTGAAGGATATGTCCTCTAAATTGAAGAAAGATCCAGAATACAGTACTCATCAAGGAGAGCTTGAGTACAATCGTCCTAAAAACCGATATAAAGATATTGTGCCATGTAAGTATTTATTCAGTTGTTTTCATTAGTTTTCAAATGTCTTCTAGTTTTAAAAATTTTGTATGAGATATTGCTCTGTTCTTAGTCTACCTTCAAAAACCCAAAGAATGATTAGCATCTAATTTCTCCTTACAATATCACCCCTAGATCAAACATGAAGGTCACAAGAATGAAGAAATGATCACCAACTAAATATGGTCTTGATCATTAAACAAATTCTCTCTGTCAGCACCTTAGTAAATATTTAGAGAAAAGTATAGAGAATATGCATAATGATGTGAGGGTGTAAAGGATTAACAATGTACAACATGGTGGCGGGTTCTAGAAGATGAGATGTAACTTATGAAACTGCTCATTTAATTGTATGCTTTTGAAAATATAACTGCAAATCATAATTTCAAGGGTTATTGCACATGTCAAGTTATACAAAACTATGTTTGCCTGGGCAAGTTTACAAAGTCTAAGCATTTATGTTTTGATTATTCAGTAGCGTTAGTTCTCCTTTATGTAAAAATTTCCCAACCAGTGCAATATTTTGGGAGTAGATTTGAAAAAAGATGCAAGAAACAAAAAACATTCATAAACTTTGTTGAGAATGATCAAACTTGAACCAAAACATGTAAATATACACTGCATGGATAATGATGTTTGTATGCAGTCGACATCTTTGTGGGCAGTTGATACTTATCTATCATGGCTGATAATTGTTGTTATTACACTTTTAGTTGACTATAATCGTATTACTCTTCCATCATTGGCCTGTAAACCTGGTTCAGACTACATCAATGGAAACTACATTAAGGTATAATATACAATGTAGGAAAGAGTTAGAGACTTCATGCCCATGATGAGGATAATGACTTCACTGTTATTTGATTTGCTCTTGTAATTGTTATTGTTATTGTTATTGTTATGTCCCTTGGTCAGAAGTGTAATTAAAGTAAATGAAAAATGAACCCTTTAACTCCCATGAGTGACCAAGATAGAATTTCTCCTTACAATAACAATACAATATCAACCAGTTGAGTGATGAGAATAAAGAAAAATATCAATTTGGGGATAATTAGTTGATCCAATACTAAATTCTCTGAACTAACATTATAAGAATTGTATGGTTGACAGTAAGGAGAATTACAAATTTGATCTGGGAGTTAAAAGATTAAACAATTCAACCGAGAAAACAGGAAACAATGCAATACAACTGCAGGCTGTCACCACATTATGCAGGAAACATTTTTGAGTGACACTTTCTTTAAGCTACATGTGTTATGCTTCAAAAGGGTTTCACTCAGTGTCACAATAATTTAAGAACTAAGAAAATTTCTGAGAAAATATTTAAACTTGAAAGTGAAAATAATTATGTTTCAGCTGAAGGTTATTTGCAAGTTGTGTTTTTGTCTCAAGTAACTGAAGAATGTTTTTGCAGTTACTGAGCATTTCCAACACAATTTCACCTTGTTTACTAGTTTTACTAAGCCACATAACCAAGGAAAAAAAAGGGAAATAAAAGAAAAGATAGAAAATAATGAAAAGAAATACCAAAATAAAGAAATAAACTAATCAAGAAAGAGAAAAAAAAATCCTGTATCAAACTATAACCTGGATGATTTAATATAAAACCATGTATCATCAGGGACCAGATGGGAAGACTCATTACCTAGCTCTACAAGGTCCTTTGCCAAGAACAGTTGATGATTTCTGGAGAGTGATAGCATCTCACAAATGC